CCTGTAGTATTACCCAGTTTTCTCAGAATTCCTTCTGACCTTGTGTCCCTTAATGAACAACAAAGACATTACCTGGTGATCATGTCAGAAATATAGTACTATCCACTGACCTGTGCATGCCTTCTGTGTTATCTTAAAAAGCCTATTTAGCCCTCCAAGTTTTTATTTTGGACTGCAAGACAATTATTTTTTTTTTTAAACTAGGAGAGTGGGACAGATATACTAATTTAGCAAAAACAACTACGCAGTGCATTTTTGGCACATGAACAAGTATAGTAACCATGTTTAACCTCCCTGGCGGTATGATTATTTCAGATTTTTGGTGCTGAAAGCGGTACCATTTTTTTGCATGGAAATATGTATTTTTTTTATTGTAGGCTGTAATTTTTAGGAAAAACTCACGAAATCTGTCTGAACAGGAGTCTAGTAAACATCCCGGGTATGATAAAATTTGAAACCCAAAATCATAAATTATAATTTAATAAATAATCATAAAAATAATATAAAAATAATAAAAAATTTAATTCAATAATATAATCAAACCAAAAACACTGAAATGTGAAATAGAGCGCCAAGTTCGCACATTGCTGAGCTCAGTCGCAAAATCGTTTTCAGTGTCTGATGAAGAATTTCCCCCACGAATCATTATCACTCAATTCTGCAAGTGGTTCTGATTTACTATCGCTGTTCTCTAGCTGATCTAAACCGCTTTTGACCTAAAGGGACACTTTTTGGACGCCATGGACATTTCTCAGTTTCCAGGCAGAAAGAACAGACAAAATGCAGGCAGGGCACAGGACAAAAGCACTAGGGACAATATGTCTGTGAAATTGGTTGAGACAGCAATGTTTTACTATGTAAAAAAAAAAAAAAAAAGACATTTTTTAAAATTTTTAAATTTCCCCGCCGCCACCGGCGGCGCCCGTACGTCCCGACGTCACAGGGACAGGACACAGAAGCCGGATGCCGGCATCGGCCGGAGGAGATGGCCGGGGACGCTGCAGGGGACACATCGTGGGAGCGCAGGGTAAGGTAAGTGAAGAACACATGCCGGAGCAGTGCTGCATGGTATTCCCGAGTGTAGCTCGGGGTTACCGCTTTTGGTACTGAAATGTTACCCCGAGCTACACTCGGGAATACCGACAGGGAGGTTAAGGGCCGGTTCACACTACAAAAAATGCACTCCAGATGCATTCCGGATACATTTTTGCTTACAATTCACACCACACGCATTTCCAGTGCAGTTTGCCATGTTCCAGTATGGTTCTATGCAGAAAAAATGCAGCATGTTCTACTTTTTTTTTTCTGCACCGGAAACTGACTGGAACTGACCACACTAGTGTGAACCAGGGCCATTGGAATACATGGAAAACAATGTGCATGCATTTTTGATGCAGAAAAAAAGTGCACTAAACTGCATCTAGTGTGAACTAACCCTAAAGAAAGTAAATATGTATATACTATAACAGGGCTTGAAATTTCCGCTCACCAAATGCAAGGGGAAATCCCTTTGTGGCGAGCACAGATGGAGCGGGTGGCTTGCAATGCGATCCCCAGGCCCTGGGGATTGATTTGCGTTCTATTCGGCTCCAGGCCTCGTTGTGAAGCCAACTTACGGTTTACGACTTCCAGTTTGTTTGCCGCCACCGCGGGAGAGACAAAGAGAGGCCCGCTCTACGCCGCCTTGGGGGGACACAAGGAGAGGCCCGCTCCACACCGCCTTGGGGGGACACAAGGAGAGGCCCGCTCCAGGCCGCCTTGGGGGGGGGGACACAAGGAGAGGCCCGCTCTACGCTGCCTTGGGGGGGGGGGGACACGACGCCCGCTCTACGCTGCCTTGGGGGGAGGGGACACGAGGCCCGCTCTACGCCGCCTTGGGGGGAGGGGACACGAGGCCCGCTCTACGCCGCCTTCGGGGGAGGGGACACGAGGCCCGCTCTACGCCGCCTTCGGGGGAGGGGACACGAGGCCCGCTCTACGCCGCCTTCGGGGGAGGGGACACGAGGCCCGCTCTACGCCGCCTTCGGGGGGGGGACACACACGAGGCCCGCTCTACGCCGCCTTGGGGGGGGGACACACACGAGGCCCGCTCTACGCCGCCTTGGGGGGGGGACAGGACACGAGGCCCGCCCTGCGCCGCCTTGGGGGGGGGGGACACACGAGGCCCACTCTGCGCCGCCTTGGGAGGGGGGGGACACGAGGCCCACCCTACGCCGCCTTGGGGGGACACAAGGCCCGCTCTACGCCGCCTTGGGGGGGGGGGGGGGACACAAGGCCCGCTCTACGTCGTCTTGGGGGGGGGGACGAGGCCCGCTCTACGCCGCCTTGGGGGGGGACGGGGACACACGAGGCCCGCTCTATGCCGCCTTGGGGGGGGGGGGGACAAGGCCCACTCTACGCCACCTTGGGGGACGCGAGGCCCGCCTCTACGCCGCCTGGGGGGGGGGGGACGACACGAGGCCCGCTCTACGCCGCCTTGGGGGGGACACGAGGCCGCCCCTACGCCGCCTTGGTTGGTGGGGGGGGGGGTGACACGAGGCCCGCTCTACGCCGCCTTGGGGGGGGACGGGGACACACGAGGCCCGCTCTATGCCGCCTTGGGGGGGGGGGGAAAAGGCCCACTCTACGCCGCCTTGGGGGACACGAGGCCCGCTTTCCCTTGCCTTGTGTCAGGACAATATTAAGACTAACCCAGGTGAACACCTCCTAGTTCCATTTTCGAAGGTCTGATTTAATGGTTTTGGTCAAAGGGCGGAAATACAATTTGAAGGTAAATTTCAAATTAGCAGAGATCAATGTACCTAGCTATTTGTTAAGGGATGAAGAGTTGCTCGAGTTGCCCAGGTGGCAAGATAACATTTAAGGCCTCAGATTTAATCTTGTCTATGGAAAGATCCCCATATCTCTCCAATTCTTGTAGCAGGACTGATAAGGATTGTGGGCAGGAGGGACGATATAAAGTAGATAGGGTCTTTAACATATGCTGTGACCTTATGGGTGAGCTTAGCAGTTTTAAGTCGTTATTGCGTTATTTGCTCTGATGGTGTGTTGGAACAGTTCTAACGAAAATATGAAAATTAAAGAAGATAGGGCACATCCTTGACATGTCCTGTTGCTAATCAAGAAGGATGCAGAGATAGAGTCATTGACCTGGAGGGTGCCTGTAGTGTATGAATATAAAGCTCCAATCCATGTCATCATATTGGTCCCCAAACTTACATGAGCCAGGGTGGCATTGATAAAAATCCAGCTGACCCCATCAAATGCTTTTTCTGCATCTGCAGAGAGCAAAATGAAGGGGATGTTTTTCCCTTGTGCTAAGTTAATTAGTAACTTGATATTTTGATTGCACCCTATTGCTATTAAGCTATTGCTGTTATGTTTAAATTGACATAATAAAGCTATGTTATAATTGCAGTTTTATATATTTTGTACTCTTTATTCTAAAGAAAAATGTAATTTCATAAGCTTTAAGGGGGCGTGGCAAATTGTAGAGAGTAAGGTTTGTGCCTGGATAGTAGGTCTAGACTCAAAAATTTTAAGCCTTGTTAACTATAAAGTTGTAGTAAATATGTTTTTGTTTTTTTACCTTCACATGCACAGGCAATGTACAGACTTTTCAGTTAGATTTTATATACACACATAAAATAGCAGCTTGTTGTAAATAATCTTACTAATGTGTGTTAATATTTAAAAATAAATCTATGCATCATTTGTATCTTTTATATGTTCAAGTGGGCAGACATATTGGTTTAACATATACAGTCTCAGCTTTTTTTCACAACTTCAAGTATGTGAACCAGCTAACCCAATAAAAATATACTTCCTGTGTAGTGGATATCTCAACTGAACAACTGTTAAAGCCTGGTACACACAGGTAGTGTAGTGGATTTATTTTTTTTTTTTTCGTTCAACCCAGTGGGCTGAAGGAAAAAAAAAAAAAAACTGAGGAGCTCGCCATACTAACTATGCAATGTTAATAAAGAGATCTCTCCGTTAAGCTATAGTGTTCTGACATGTGGACTGCACCCCCCCCCCTTCCTGCCAGAATATACGGGTCAGCGTTGGAAACCATTGGCTGAAAGCGCCGATTGGCTGCTGTTTGCCAGAAGCCAGACAAGCTGCTGTAAACACGGGCCGAATGTCGGGCAGTTTCTGTTAACCAAACCATCTAGGCTGATATTCGGCCCATGTACCAGCCCGAAGCAGGAAGCAGAGTGATAGCATTAAGCCACTGAGAGCTCTGTCTAGTTCCTAATCTACAAATCCCTACATTCAATAACAAAATTATTAAAGTGCAAGTATGTAAAAATGTGCACATCAAAAATTGCATTAAAGGGTTTGCAAAGTCATTTTTTTTCTTATAAAATAACAAACATGTATTTACCTGCTTTGCACAATGTTATTGCACAGAGCGGCCCCAGTTCTCCTCTTTTCAGGTTCCCCACTGGTGCTCCTGGCTCCTCATCTTCTTAGTGTGCCACAGTAGGAAGATGCTTCCTATTGTGGCACACCTGCAGGCTCAATCTTGAACCATGCTGCCTGTGTTTATAGACACAAATAGGGGGGGCTAAGCCCCATCCCCTGTTCCCATGTCACAGGATTTGACTGACAGCAGCAGGAGTAAATGGGGGAGGGGGGCAATACACATACTGAACCATTTTTTACCTTAATGCAGGGAATGCATGAAGGTAAAAATGTTTTGGCTTTACAACCACTATAAGTTAAACATTAAAGTTGCTAAGCCAGCTTTGTGTGCGGACTGAAAATACACTATAGTTTTCCATTCAGTTACAGTGACAAGTGCGTAAACTAATACCAAATATCTTCAGTTCTGAAATCCTCCTGAAACCTCTGCGCATTTAAGTATTTTCAAGGATTTTGGGACTCACATTCTTTTGTATAATAACCCAGTTTTGTAACATTGCATTATGTGATTACAAAGGAAAGATCCCACATAGTTCCCAGAAAATCAATTTCATAAATCTTTTCACCCTTACCAATGTCACTGGGCATCACACTCCCATTTTCAGTCTGAGAACTTAATAAATCAGGTACCAAAACCTCCATTAATGTGTAATTTGTTCCTGTATTTTTTATTTTCTTTAGCATGAGTTTCTTAATTTCTTCAAGATGAAATCCCATTTGCTGGGCATTAACAACCAAAGGGTTCTTCATTAATTCGCTGTCTAGGGAGAGATGCATTTGCATTAATTGACACACAGATGCAAAAAAGCCATGCAAAACTCACAGCCACAGAGAATTGTAGGATAGCTCAGAAACATATCTTTCCACAGTTTGGATTTCTTAAAATTGGTTATGTTTGTTCAATTTCAGCCAAAAAACAGAATGCTATTTTTGTAACTGTGAATAAAATTAAAACTGAACTCCTGGCAGATATAAAAAAAAAAAAAAACATACTATAATATTTAATACAATTATGTCTTCCTGTAAAAATTGAAGTATTATTGCATTTAACATCCATGTATCTCAATTTGTCTTTAGGTCAGCCTCTGTCATCCCCTGGAAGTTAATCAGCCTCTGCTGCATGCACATGTGCTGACAGAAAGCAGACCGTCAATAAAAGAGAGATCAGCGGATGATGAATCAGTGTTGCTGCACCTTTCTTGTGACACTACTGTAGAATGTAGCAACAGTCTCCAGGCTGTGCTGTCTGCCAGAGGTGTATGAATCACAAAAAGGGCTAGATAGAAATACAATTCATATTAGCTGTTTGTCTAGAGTTCAGCTTTGCAACATGTTAAAAATAAATATGGTAGAACGGTACAAAAAAAATGTGCATATAGGGAGAGAGGAAGGAGTGCATGCAAGGCAGGAGACAGGATAAATGCAGAAAGAGAAAGGTCTGCTGTATACATTCAAATTCATTGATCCTTATGGAATGATAAACATTTTAGAAAAAAAACAGGTCTTGGTAATAAACAGCAAAATATATTGAAGCCTCTCTATTGCTCAGCTAGAGAATATGTTTCAAAAATAGCATCCTAGGTATGATATACTCAGATTTTGCTTTTGTAGCCTTACAGACCTGACAAGATATGAAATTTATCATTGACACATTTCAAGATGTAGGCACAGAATACAAATGGAGATTCCCAGTCTATCTTGGTACAAAGGCAGCACATGAGCTGCAAATTACGGTACAGTATATACTTTCATATTATTCATCCAGAAGACAATGATGTTACCTCCATTCCTCATTTAAATAACAACCCCAACCAAAATATTGTTTCCCTTTAGAAAAGAGTGGGGAAGGGTTAGGGGTTTATTACTATATAAACCGGAAAATTCTGCATTAGTGCCCAGAAAACAACCCAACAGCTGCTGTACAGATATCCAAAATGATATTCAAAAATATGCAAACCAAAAAACGGACAGTGCTAAAACCTTTAGATAGCTAATTATATACAATCAGCCTTGTATAAATACTGTGTAAAGTGCATAAGTTCAGTGTAAATCCATAGAAAAATATATAATATACCTAAATAGTGATATAACCATAGAATATATAAAACCACTGCCAAAATCTCCCTTTGGGAGAGCCAGTAAAGTGCAATACATAACAAATGTGCAAAACATCACAAATCAGTGCAAATAATCCAAAAAACATGTGAAAATGTCCAACAAATTAATGAAGTGCAACAACAGTCCACCACATTAATACACAGTCCAGTCACTCCCCTTGTAATGGCACAAACACCTTCCTACACTCAAGGGATCACTTGAGAATGTCTGTTTGGATGAAACTAGTCAGGATAGAGTCTCAGTGTTGACCTCACTCCAGGTCGTCAGCAGCTCCTTTAGTGATTTTTACTGTTTTTTTCGACGTCACATTGTTTCATCTGGATGACTGGCTCTTTTCTACTATAAACTTTTTTTTTTTTAAACTACTACACTATTACTGGCTTTCTGTTGGCTCCTTGGTGATCTCCATCTGTTCCAGTGGGAGTTGCCTTTTGCTGCTTCCTAAGAGGAGTGATTCAAGAATGGAAGTGCATAGACTTGGGGAGGATCTGTGCCCAAGAAACATTCTGTGTCTGCTGTACTTATTACAGCTTATGTTCTGGTGAGTATGCATTTTATTACAGTGGTGGTGCTTTGGTTACACTACAACAATCTACTGGATGGTGGAAGATGTTTTATATGAATATACATGGACTTTGATTTAACAGAGACTTCAATTTTGTCCTAATGAACACTGTTTATTTGTATAGTTTTGTTGTATTTACTGGTGCTACATCATTTCACAATATTGTACATTATCACAGTGCAGATTCTTTTCATTAGGTTTATTTTTGTCCTTTTCAAGACCCTGTTAGCAGGAAAAAAAAATCTAGTGTGTTTTTGTATATAGGCTGTCAGATAGATTAAGCCAGTCAGCAGGGACCGGATGAGATTTGAACCATCTATGGGCAGGCTGTTGGATTTTTCATGCTATAACCTCTAGCAATATTCATTGTGTTCTCCCGGCAGAGACGGACTCTCTGTGCCCCCTTCCTTGCCGGGAGAACACAATAGCTCCACGGGAGGGATGTTGTGTTGATGGGGAAAATTGCATCATCTATGGCCAGCCTTATAGACCTGACAACATTCAAACAATAGAGAGAAATCTCCTCTGGATGCTTGGGGTAAGGGCACAAGATAGATAAGAAAATGTCCCTTTTCCTGCCAGGTCCATACATTGTACCTAACAGCAGGGGGTTTTACACACAATCCAGTGGATGTATCCACCTCCACTGGGATTGTGTCTAAAACTGACAGGCAGACTCCTGCCTGTTAAGTGGAAGCAGTTGGGCAGATGCATTGCGTCCACAGCCTCTACTAACGTGCCCCCCTCGGCGCTCCTGCCATGTTATCTGAGCTTCACATGGTGGATGCCGGCAGGAGGAAGGAAGAGAGGAAAGCGGACACACATTTGCTCTCTCCCCTTCTTACTGTGACCCGGAAAGCGACATGTATAACGTCAATTTTGGGGTCACCGCTGTCACTATCCCCAGCAAGAATAGCCAGGTAGAGATGTATTGCAATGCGATTTGCATTACAATACATCCAGTGGAGCCCAGATGAGACATGCAGGGCTCCTTGGTGAGCTCCTCCAACATGTCTGGATGCTGCACTATGCAAAACTATTAGCTGAATTTTCTACATTTAAGAATAGGGTGCATCGAGATTGTCCATAATTTTAAAAAGGTGCCTTGACTGAAAAAAGGTTGAGAAACATTGGTTTAAGCAACACCATCATTTTACCGGTTTTCCTAGATGTTTCTATACAGTAACTGAAGCTGAAAGGAAACACTTTGCATGTTTCTCAAACAATAGAACACAACTGAAAGCACACTGTATATTTATAATCTTACCGGGGAATTGGGGGCTAGCTTTGACTCTTGAATGTATATTACGTTTGGACCGCGCCAATAGACATATATACACTATTAAAAAAATGGAAGGGAGGAGCAGCTATCTAATACTTGGAAACCAAGAATAGTAAACTGCAAATATATTTAGACAAGAGCTCCTCAGGATGCAAGTATATTGCATCCACAACTCTGTGGATGAATCCTCGTACATATATATGACACCACAGGAAAGGAAAGGAAGACCGAGGCCTTGGAGGTGACATCACCACATACAGGTGAGCTGCCTGTGTTTGATGAGCCCAGAGCTGATGGGATTGTATCACACATGCGGTTACTGCTGGGGTCGGCTATGACACTTCACTTTGTGAGTGCGGCTTATGCTCTTTAATGGAATAAAATTATTTGAATGGTGTTACGCTATGAAGCCTCCTTCTCTATGGTGTTTTTTTTATATATATATATATATATATATATATATATATATATATATATATACACATACATATATATATACATATATACACACACACACACACACACACACACACACACACACATACATATGTACATACACACACAAGGATTCATCCACAGAGTTGTAGAGGCTGTCAGAATTCCTGCAGATCGTTGCTCCCAGAGCCACTGCTTATTAGCTGGTTTATAACATTACCAGCATGGAGCTCTGGTGAGCTCATTCAATTTGTCCGGTGGGGATTTGACAGTGTGGTGGTGTTTAAAAACAAGAATATTTATAAAAATAACAAGGACTTTTTTTTTTTGCACATTTATTCATGGACGTTTTAAACATAGTTATATTGCATGATGGACACATTGTCAATCATATATTAGTGGTTATGGATATGATATATTTGATGATATTTAAGATATAATTGTTGCACTTGTTATATCATTTACATTTTTTAAAATTTTTTCACATATTAGTATTTTGGCACATTAAGATTGTGGTTAGTAGATACGGTCTGTATTTTGGATGCAATATACTCGCATCCTGAGGAGCACTTGTCTAAATATATTTGCAGTTTACTTTGACTCTTGAAGTCTACCTCTTATTTTCAGAGGTTCTATACTGCTGGTAAAGCAACCTTGATGGTGCATTTCCTGAGACATAATTTAAAAATCATCACCTAAATAGCGAGCCCCACGATACACGATTTATATCGCCCGGTCCCCAGGACATGCAGTTCCAGGTGCCAGGCAGGTGGGGTTTTTTACATTTAGCCTGGGTTCACACGTATGTGTACAGAAATCGCAACGTCATTCAGTTCTCCACAACTTTCACCTATTGGTTTCAATGCAAAATCGCCTCCCATTCACTGCAATGCAAAGTCGCCTCCCATTCACTGCAATGCAAAGTCGCCTCCCATTCACTGCAATGCAAAGTCGCCTCCCATTCACTGCAATGCAAAGTCGCCTCCCATTCACTGCAATGCAAAGTCGCGTCCCATTCACTTCAATGCAAAAATCGCGTCCCATTCACTTCAATGCAAAAATCGCGTCCCATTCACTTCAATGCAAAAACGCCCTCCATTCACTTCAATGCAAAAACGCCCTCCATTCACTTCAATGCAAAAACGCCCTCCATTCACTTCAATGCAAAAACGCCCTCCATTCACTTCAATGCAAAAACGCCCTCCATTCACTTCAATGCAAAAACGCCCTCCATTCACTTCAATGCAAAAACGCCCTCCATTCACTTCAATGCAAAAACGCCCTCCATTCACTTCAATGCAAAAACGCCCTCCATTCACTTCAATGCAAAAACGCCCTCCATTCACTTCAATGAAAAAAACGCCCTCCATTTACTATGCATTTCAAGCTGATACC